GTGTGTGTGTGTGTGTGTGTGTGTGTGTGTGTGTGTGTGTTACGCTTATATTGTGGATTGTACCCATTATGTCGACTGAACAAAAAACTGGTAACCACAAAACAGGTCATATCAAAGATCTCCCTTCAATTTCACCTCCAACGAAGAAGATAGCAATTTTTGAAGGAATCAACAAGATGCTGTTATGTTTATATTTAGATCCTTTACGAAAAAGTCCGACTGTGACGCGCCACAGAAACCAATGGAAACTTTACTAATGCCCGCTCGATTCAATCGATAAATAGCTACAGAGCTTACAGCGCTTAGTATTTTTTATACTTTTACTACCTTTAATGAAAGGTGGATCCATACAACAAGAATTATTAGTTATGGCTGCCAAACATCAACACCAATATTCCAGTCGATATTATAGCCAGCTATCTACTAGATTTGAGAACAAGTACATGTTATACGAAACGAAAGTAACAAAAGAAAGCAAATAGCTTCATCCATGTCTCTTCTTGAAGAAGTCAACAAACTCTCGGATTTCCGAAATAGTAATAGCTTATTCTTGGAATGCTTTACCAAGTACATATTCTAGTTTACAAAGTAGAGACGAACGCTGAATTGAGCCATTCTCGAACAAGTTTTCCAGTCTGGGTACCAGTTTGTAGATTCGCTCGATAATTCTATGACGTTGAAATATTAAAATACTACAGCAAAGAAATAAATCAAAAAATCAGTATCAGGGTGGTGAAATCATTTAAAACGAAAGACGTATCATGAAAGCATAAGAGGATGCGGTGTTCTCACAAATACCGTAAATCTCAACCGAAGACGACGATGACAAAAATATTTGTTGCACTGGTAACTAGGGAGACTGAAACTTTACAGTAAAATATTACATTGAGAAGAAGCACGATAGGAATGGATACAAAGTAGGAATCTTTAGTTGATTTTTGCTAGTTTGACAATTTCCACTGACGACGCCTAGCAAACAAAACAAGCAATTACTTCACACTGTTATAACGATGGTAGTCGTTCACTGCTCATGTCAGTAACCACTGAAGAGATATAACAATAACTTCAACACAGCGTAATTTCAAGAAACCGAGTGACAAACCATCTCAGCTTTTATTTGGTCAGGTCCCTGAAACTGTAGTGGAAAGCACTAATATCAAGAAATTTCAAACTGTCTCCGACGCGTAAAAATCCACTAGTGCACTTCATGGATGTCAGCAATAGTAATACATAGCAATGCAGTAATTGCAAACCCATTAGTCGTCGACTTACTCGACAGAGCAAAAGTGAACTCCAAAACTGCTCAGGGTTCTGCCTATTTGATGGACACACAGAGCATCACGATGTTGGTACCAGGGTTTTTATTTCACTTTACTACATCTGACGAAAACATAGTAACGGGTAGTTTGCTTTACTCCGATGAGGCAAGGCTTCCTTTTGGCTGCGCTTACATATTTAAATGACCAAACCAATCGCAGTATGACTGCTTCAGCCAGCACTTTAACCTCGGTCGTACATTGTTGTTCGACAAGGATTGAAAACCATTTCAGGGTGCAATAACAAGATTAGACAAGCACACCTATGTATGCATTTGCCATTTCCGTGGGGAAGAAATCCATAAAATTATCTCCATGTAGGAATCTAGAGCGCCTAGCTATTACAATAGCTTCTTCCTAGCTTGAAAATCTCATTCATTGATAGTCATGCATATGGATGCGGCTCGAAAATGCTCTCAGAAATGACCAAAGAATTTAAGGGCTCGAAATGAGTGAGCGTTGAGGGTGAACCGATGACGAATTGAACAAACTCAGCAGTAATTGACGAGACCGATAAAGATTAGTTACCTGACTTAAGAGTATAAATTAAGCGGTATTGTTGTGAATTAGTGATAGTGATGATGGCGTTAGTGGGTAAAATCATGCTGAGCGCGCCTGAATAAACATTATGCGTAATCGATATTGAGACGCGACGGGACTTTTTCAGTGCTCAGTTGACGTGTTCGAAAACATGATGTGAGTGTGTGTGGGGCGATAAGAAGACGACCCGGACCACCCATCACCCGAAAATCACCGCCGCCACCACCTACGGCTGATCGATTCAAGCGGCCGGCACCCGAACCGACCGCCCGACCGCTGGGCTCCGGTGAGAGCCAGCAGAGGTTGAATCAGCCCGAGCCAAACACACCTCTCGGATCCGTGTCCATTCATTGTCAGGTAGCCTGCAGAGAACCACTATGATAAGCCCCAGAAAAAAAGTGCAGTGAAAAATGAGACACGGAAACTGTGCAGTATTTCATTTTACGCAAAATTAATAGAAAAAACAAAGCGCTAAATAAAACTGTGAGGGAATTTGTGATTATCGCGTGTTATGTGATTACTACTCTTCACTTCACCATCGTTTCGGAAAATCTGTACTTTGCACTGGAACTGGTAAGTTTGCGTTACACTCGTCCTTCATTTCTGTAATGGTAACCAGTGGTCTCTTTCAGCAACTCAAAAGACCGACTTTCTATAAATTTAGGCATAAATGATCAATATATCCATATATGTTCTTGCAAACTACTCTTATTGAGTTGGTGCGAAGTTGGTATGTTATTGTTGTTGTTGTTGTTGTTGTTGTTGTTGCTGCTGCTGCTGCTGCTGTTATTGTTGTCACAGTCTCTTTTAAACTTGTGCAAAGAAATGTTGGATATATTAGGAGAATGGCAAAAGTGTTCTGCTAAAATAATTATAAGGTTATACCAAATTTATTTTAATTAAGGCACCATTCATTAGATGTTTAATGAATGAGTTGATTCGCTGAAACAATGAAATTCAAGAGTTACTCATTTAATCAAACTAGAACTTCAAAGCCTCCCAACGGTTTACCGCCTTATAGTGGCTGGGAGGTGTTCTTGGGTGCCGGGCTGCGATGTAGAGCCGGCGAATTCATCCCTCGGCAGAGTCTCCTGAGGAGTTCAGTGTTTCTATCAGGAAGCTCAGCCAAGGGTAAACCAATACCAGGATCCACCACCGTCTTGGTATCAAACTAGTGCGGTAGCAAATCTGTCTCTGATCCACACTGCCTGTGGTGGTGACGACCTGGGGCAGACTTTGGCTAGGCTGTCCTCGGGACTTGTAGGGAACCACGATGTCTAAACCAGTAAATCTCTGAAGAATGAAAATTATACTGGAACCCACACAACTGGTGAAGACGGTCATCCAAGTATCCAAGTAAGTAAGGACTTCAAAGGCAAAACCTCAGAATGTAAATGTTTTTGTAGTCAGAGATAGTATATTCCTGTAAGCTATTAGCAGTTTATGCAAACTCAAGAAGCACTTTTCATTTATAGAACCAGCGTATTACTTTGTCTTTCTATAACTGGTATGTACTAAATGCTCCTCAGTGCTGCTACGTGCATATATAGGCTGTTGTTCCAGCTTTTCACAGATGTCTAACGATTTGTACTATATTCGCTAGAATGCCGATGTAGTGAAAAATAA